TCCTTTGCCAACCCTTGCTATGCACATGTCAGGAACTGTCCCTTCGACCGCAGTCACGTTCGTCGAACTTGATGTCGACGTGCGCTTGCCCTTGCCGTCTTCCTTCGGAAAGCTGCGGGCATTGAAGTAAGACGCTTCAGTGGTGTGGTTTTTCCCGTTTTCGGGACCGCAAATTGCACACGGAGGTCCCTTTGTGGTGTTGGCATTGCCGGCATCCCTTGACACGTTTATCACCTTTTAGTTTTGACTTGTTGTCCGCTTCCACCGCCCCAATCTCCATGGGTGCTGGCCCAGAGTATGGAGCTGCAGGTGACGCAGACTGTGTGCCGAAGGCAGTACCGGCACCACGCTTCCGTAGGTTCTTGAATCTCAGGTATTGCACAATGAACTCACGAAGCGCGGAATGCATCGCAATCTGAGGGGCAAGAGTCTTGGGGGCGACCTCGGACACGATCGCGAGCTTCAGATCTGCATCAAATGTTTTCTTGTACTCACGTTCGTTTTTGGCAATTTCACCTTCCCCTTCTTCAAAGCCTCGTTGCCACTGTGATATTTTGTTCGGGAAAACGGGGTTGGAAAGTGCCCGGAGCATCCCGGAACCACGCATATGGTTTGTGCCTGTTTTCCGGCTCGAAAGGGGCAGGCATGCGGCGCCATAGTTCCAACCCATTCCCATCCGGTACAAGCATCGCCATGGCTCGGATTTCGCCGGACTAGCACAAACCTACCAAAATGGCAAACAGGTCTGTGCACAACACTTTCGCAAATGGAATCATCTCTGCAGGATTGATCCCGTCTGTTTGCGCAGCGGCAAACTTGAGCATGTCGCCTCCTGCCCCGCAGCTTCTGGCCAGCACGGAGCGACTCGCCCCAGCAGCTTGCTGAGGAGCTTGGGCGGACGTGCTCCTTGTCTTGCAGCAGAAACGTCCGGACGCAGCAAGGCGACGCCCCAAGAGCTGGCCCTTGGCGCCGCATCGCCAGCGACCTGGCGGCCGCAGCGTCGAGGACAACTTCGTTAGGGTTGCATGGATCGGCCTGGGTCCGGGTGTGCAAGGTGTCGATCAGCGCTTCAGCGCCGGCTCGCCGGGAGAGGGCAGGCTGGTGTGGGTTGCACAAATCCTCGAATTGTGCAGCAAATTGCTGTGCAATGGTCCTGGCTACGAGTCGTCGTAGCGTCTTCTTCATCCAAGACCAAACGAAGAAGTTCCGAGGTGTAGCCACTGGTGGGCCTGGTGCAGCACCCGGGCACGCTCGTCAGGATTCGCGGGCAGCGCAAGGCGGTGGAGCATGGGGGCATTCGGAGCGGCTTACGGAGATCTTGCGGGAGCGGCAGTAAGGCTTCGCTGGCCGGCGTGAAGGGTCGGTGAATTACGGTAGCATGGCTGCTCTGCACCAGCTGACGCACTGTGAGGCGCACTGCGCCCATCTGGGAACAGATGGCGACCCCGTCGGGCCCGTCTACTTGGGGAGCGCAAACACGATACGGTCGACATTCGAAGTAAGACCCTGGGGAAGGTGCAAGTGGGCCGCCCTAGCTCCCGAAAAAATAAACAACAGACTGTCAGCTCCCCCGCTGATTTTCCCAGGAGCCGATTGCGGCTATTTCCCATCGCAGGATCATTGTGGTTAGACCTGTGTTCAACAATCCTCCTGCACAACGGGCACGCCGGCAGCAGTGGCGACGGTGTCGAGGGAGGAGCTCGAGCAAAGACCTGACATAGGCGGCGCGACGGAAGGGCTGCACGCAAAGCCGGCCGAACGGCAGCGTGCGCACGCGCGGCTCGCGCTCGCCAAAAAGGCTGCAAAAAGGCTGACCAGTTTCGGCAGCGAATACAAGGAGCCGGCAGCGCCGCGGCGAGCGCCATAGCTCGGGGCAAGCCAGCGTTGCTTGCTGAAGGGCGAAGACCGGTTGAGCGTCAGTGGTATCGACCCACGCGTGGCACGCTGACAAGTGGCGACTGCGGTGCCGCACTCAGCATTCCCAGTGGGGTCCATGGGGGTGCGGCTGACGTGTCCGCACCGGCACGTCCCGCGTGCGCCTCTAGCACGGCGTTCGATTTGGGGCGCGGGCGTCGTCATCATCATGAGGATCCGGGACGGGCACGGACAGTGGACGTTGTCCCCGTGTCGGCGAAGCACGAGGGCGAGCGGAACTGCCCAGACCTGCCCCAAAACAGCGCGTGCATTGGGCCCTGCCAGGGGCCTCCACTTGGCCCCGCGGTTTCGTTTGTGGTCGTGCAAGCAAGAGCAGCCATTCATGTGGGGTGCTGGGAAGTAACACCTTCTGACAATGTGTGGCTTCACTGGAATCAGCGCTGCGACCCCAGGGAGATTGACCACAGCAGCCAGGCACCACACGCCTACCCTGGCACAAGCCTGGCTGACTACACATATACAAGCACGAAAAGGTCCGGTTTGTTCGTGCCTAAACAACCGAACCGGGAACACCAACACTTCCGTCCGTTTTCGTGCGCTGGCCACGGCATCGGCATTTGACCTTGCTCTCGGTTGACGCTTCTGGTGCCTTCGCCTATGTATGACCTGCTTCGTGCCAAACCATGCCGGAAGGATTGTGGTCCCGCCCAGCCCTCTCACTGCTTTCGCTCTCAAACCACTTACACGGCAAGGTTTCAGGATGCCCGCCGTCGGCGTTTGATAGTGCGCGTGGCTTCTGGTTTTGTGTTTTTGTATGTTTCGCCAGTGTGTTGCATACTTTCGCCCAGAAGTTGAGGAAGAATGCAAAAATGGAGCGTGCCTGTCATTGTGCAGTGGCATGTTTTCTTGGAAAAAACACAGTCAAGCTTGAAAGCCGAGCGCTCCATGAACACTCCGTGGCGATGCTATGTACAAACTTCAACAATGCTCGGGATGGCAGCATCGCGTGACAAGTCAACCCGTTGCAGATGTGTCCTGTGGCTGTCCGGAGGTCGCTTGGCGGCGACGGGCTCGGTTAGGGGGTGGCGAGGATCTATAGTCGAAGCCAGGCAGCCGGTGCTGCGCCGGCCCAGTGCCATTCGATCGTTGCAGCCGTGGAACTTCCTCGCCGGCTGCTTGAGGACAAGGCGGCGCTGGACTTGCTGGCGCACGCCGCACCCCCCTCGCTTAGTCGCAGCTGACACCGCCTTGTCCTGAGTCCTAACCCGGAGGAAGCGTTGGAGGGATCGCGACCGACTTGGTGTCGCGAACTGTGGCGCGACATGGCGCAACAGTATGCGGAGATCTTCGACCGCGGGGCCAAGCGCAGCTGCCGCACGTGGTATAAGTTCGGGCGCTCGCGTGTCAGCAGCGGGGAGGAAGCTGTCGCTGGCAGGAAAGTATAGCCCGGCGTCAACTGGTCAGGCTCTGTCAGGGGAGCATGGCCCTGTGGGGGCCGGCATGAAAATTGGTGCCCTCGCTGCAAACAGGTCCTCGCGCGACCTTTTTCCACGCGCTGCGTTCTGATTCCTTGTTCAGCGTGTCACAGTCGTGTCACGCACGCAGCCAGGGAACGTGCATGGATGGCTGCTCGACCACGGCAAACGCTAGCCGCTACCGAGCAGGGTCTGTCTCCAGCCGGCTGTGCAAGCTGCTCGCTAGGGGCGTGAGTCAAAGCGCGTGGCAGCGCGCAGCCTGCATCTGCCCACCGCGCCCATCCCGCGAGGGCAGCAGCTCGCATCGCCCGCCGCATGCACAGGGATCGCTGGCACTCGAGGCGTTGTTTGCTGCCAGCGTCCTGGGTAGCGCCGTTGCTTGCGAGGCATCCGGCTCCGGGCGTTCACACCACCCTTAGCTGAGCAGCCTGCCCGCAGCAGCCCGCAGCTGCCCGCAGGCCAAGCATGGCAAAGCGCAGTCGACGCACCGCCAATAGCGAGTTGATGGTCGCATTGTCGTGCTGCGTACCGGGCGCTACTGCAACATCTACAGTCGCAACCAGCGTGCCCAGATGTGCCCAGCCGCATGCGTGGCCAAATCCCTCGAGGGCACCGAGCGTAGAACGTGTCGCGCACGCCGGCTGGCACAGTTAAGCAACTCTGCTTATCAGGCAGTTCTTGACTGTTCTTGCAGTTCTCGCAGCAGGCGGCGCTCTTCATCGAGTCTGGCTGTTTCGGTGCGTTCGCATGCCATCGGCACGCCCGAAGCGACGAAGCCGCAAGCCGCCGGCCAGCCGTCACCTCGAGTCTTGCCGAAGTGATCTGCAACACCCGCATGCCGACCGCCCGGGTGACATCGGGTGACATCATCGAGCACAGGTCGGGCGTGAGCTGGTGTGGTGACGAAAGCAAGCCCGCCTTGTCGCGGCCGAGTTGTTTGACGGCTTCACGGGTCCCTGAGTACCCCGCTCCGTCCTTGTTGCGCTGAACACCGGCCGCCAACCCTCGAAACGATTGCCGACAACGACCTACGCGATGAGCTTCGTCATCCCGTGCCGACGCTACGTACAAACTGTGCCCGTTTTCGCGCGAGCTGGCGTGTGCCGGGTGCTCGCGAGCAGCCTCCAACACCGCCGGGGTGCCCACGGACAACCAGACGACCGCGCCAGAGCCCGTTTGCGTGGAAACATGTGGAAACTATTCTTGCTGACACCCCGCATGCTCCTCACACGCCCGGCCGATGGACGCCGCATCCATCCGCATCATGTTGATGCGGCGCGTCGACTCGGCCTGCGACGAGCCTCGGCGCGGAAGCCTGCGCGAGGCAGCCTCTGCGCATGTAGCTTTCGCAGAGCTGGCGCCTGGCGATGCAAATGCCCCGCACCGCCTTGACTGACCCCACCAGAGGTGTCGCACTTCCGCTTGTTGAACCGTCTGCCTGGTCGGTGCTGCTTCATCCCTCCGTCCAGCACTACCGACGGCGGGTCTAGTCATAAGTCCCGTCTCGCTGAGGTTGTGCGAGTTGTGGCACAACCGCGCGTCGGACACTTTATCGCTGCGCCACGGCACCTGCATATTTTCATACCGTGCTCCTTGTATAGCACCAGCAATCACGACACTCGAGCGGCCAATTGACTCCCGGTAAGGGAGCATGACCTCCACTGAGGCTTGCGTCAATGTTGGCGCCTGAAGGCTACACAAAGTCCTTTGGATGCTCATGATGCTGGCTCCCTTCCGCAACGCTGCTCGTGCTGCCCATGGAGTGATGCTGACACCGTTTTGAGCCGTCCGCAACACCCAGACTAGCCTTTCGGGAGAATGCATGGGTGAACGCTCTGTGTCGGGAGTACAAAACGCACATGTGACACCCAACAACGCCCTGTGCTCTGCCAAACCCCAAATCTCTAAAAAGCTTGTTCCATGGAAGTTGACTTCGGGTGGTGGCATAGGGCAGGTCTTTTGCGAAGGCGACCACCATTGCTTAGGCCGTGCGGTCCCGTGCTCGTGTTGTCGTCGCTATCTGTCGACTCGGCGAGGGGAGACGGTCGCGTGCAAGGCAGAACGAGACTCTTGAGATCGGCGCTTGCAAGGCCAACAGCCTGCATCCTGAACGTGGGCTCGCACGAGGCGAGAATGCGCCATCAGTCTCACTCGTCGCGGAACTTCGGCAATAGGGATGGGCACTGCTCTGGTGGACACAGAGGAACACGGACACACACACCAACATGACGAACCCACACATGCCCAGACGCAGACTTGCCTGCCGTGCAGGTCTCGACTCGGTTGAACCTTGACAGCGCAGGAAGGTCTGATGAAATCTGCTGAAACAGAAGGTCATGGCACCAGGCCCCACCGCCCACACTAAAGACGCTGACAACTCGAGCCTGATGGTCAAAAGCATGCTTCAAAGCATCTTGACCCATGGCCCATGGCCGTGTCGACTTCCAAGCCTTCAACTCGTTGGCTATCTCAAAGTTGTTGCCGCTCCTGAGAGCGGACACGGCGATACCTACCCCTGCTCCAACTCCAAATAGTATCCAGGAAAGACCCTTCGATGGAAGGGGGAAGCAAGGAGGGCACCCAAGACCATATCTTTGCATGCAACACAAGCGATTTTGAATACTGGAAGCAGTCACGCGGGACACGGATTGCGAATGCTTGAAAGAGCCATGGGTGCACGAGTGACAGACCCACAGATATCCCTTCGTCGCGAGCCCGAATGTTTAAACAACATGTTTCAAAAGAGTTTCGCCCGCTCACCATACTTACCTTGACTTGCCATGGATGCACACACCCGATCGCTCGGCGCTTCATGTGATGTACTATGTCACTATGTGACTATGTGGAACGCAACGTTGCAAGAATGAAGAATATGTCGTGCCAGCTCGCAGACTTAAGGAGTCGCTCGAAGCGCGACACAATTATAAAGGGCGAATGGCAAATGGAGCTGGACTTGTGGCTCTCAAAAACTGGGTATCCATGGATCACGCATTCAGCACTCAACTTCACAAGCCACATGTATGAATCCATGCTCCTTCGCAACACAACTTCAGAATGAGTGAGTTGTTGAAAAAGTGCCCGCTGGAAACACAGACTGATTCGTATCTTCTGTAGTCAAGCGACTGCACTATGATTTGCCGCTGCTGATAAGCACCTGGCACGGACCAGTGATTTCTGACCAGTCAAATCGCAACGAAGCAGCACAAAAATCGATTCTGGAACAAGCTGCTGACATCCTTCAACTCACGATATCGCTCCACTCCCAACTCGCGAATGCCAATGAGAACAACTTCACGCAACATACAACACTTGTTTGAAACACCATTGACAACATGGAATGCTGAGGCTATATGCTGCGAGGCACCGTAGTTGCTATGTTCAGCCTCTTGTCGGAGCTCCTCGTCCAACCCCATCTCTTGCAAGAACCTCATCGACTTGCAACCGATCTGGTATTTCGACATGGTAGGTCCCAAATCTCCAAACAACATTTTGGAGCATTGCCTGTCCATGTTGCCGCGCACTTCCACGCATATCCTTAGGATGGACCACAGGCCAAAATTTTCCATTTATCCAATGAATCTAAGATCTGTTGGAACACACTACTAGAGCTACTACTACTACTACTACTACTACTACGACTACGTTGTTGCCAAGTCCCTGGCCAAACTCCGTTGAAGTTCGGCTGGATATTGGTCAGGTCAGCAAGCCCCAAGCAAATGTCTGCCGGCACATGCTAAGACTTCGGAAAGCCGTGCAGGAACTCCAACAACATAACCACGTGCTCTCAGACATTCTCAAATGCAGTCGGAGCAACAGGCTACAGCTACAGATTCTCACCACGACGTCTGCCCATCTGCCAAACATACAGGATCTTTTCTGCAGGTCTTCCAGCGACGAGCCCGGAGACATTGCGACAGCTAGTCTTGCAATGACACACCCTCCAACGAGGCGGTGGAACGTGTCGGAGAAGAGGACGAACATCGAAACAATAAGAATCCCAAGCAGGCTCAGCAGAGTTCGGGGATCACGCTCAACGTGACTTCATCGTTTACATGCAGTAGCATGCAAGAGCTCCGCGGAGTTTTCGGTTTTCGGCACAAGCATCGGGTGAGGAAGAGCTGAGATGCGGATGAGCGTTTACCAAAAACCCCCAGCATCAAAGAAGGTTAGATTGAGTTGGCATGTCCACACTCGCTTCGGCACAAGCCCTCTTGCTTCGCTCACCTGCTCGTTTCGCACGGCACAGACAGACAGACAGACAGACAGACAGGCAGGCAGGCAGGCAGGCAGGCAGGCAGACAGACAGACAGACAGACAGACAGACAGAGAGAAGGGGGGCGAACAATGGAACAATAATGACAAAGACAAAGACAGAGCGAGAGGAAAGCGGTAAAGGGAGAAGCTCGAATGGCGAGAGCAGTTCCAGCGCACGACAAGCACGGACACGTGCAAACATATTGTGGCCACGATTGGCCACGGATGTACACACCTGATGAAGTTCTTACCCCAGTCCCCAACCTTGGAACGCAACGCCTCGAGAAAGCAGACCACGGTACTGGCGCACAATTCACTACCGGCTTACCGGACACTGCCTGAAGCCGCCAAACAAATGCAGGGGACAAGTCGTCAAAGTTCGGCTGTTGGCGCTGATCCAGAGGTTGAAGCTTGATTGGCGGTTCTCACAACTTGGATGCTTTGTTGCAGCTGGGCGTGTAGCAATAGGCCAGTAAAGAGCACAAAAGCCAGTAAGTCACTAAGCTTATGCCGCCTCGACTGGGCACACGAGGCACCGGGGACACTTGCGCAACCAAGTCCTCGGAAAAACAGACGACGGACGCTTCAAGAGCGCTGCGCACCGCTATGCACCGCTGTGAGACCGACTTTGGAGCAGTGAGCCGAGCAGCACCTGGATAGCAAAGAGTCACTTTGAGCCTCGAGCCTTTTCTCTCTCTGTCATCTGACCAGGGCCCATGCCACAAGCTGCAAGGCATCTCTTCCCGAAGGAACCTGACAGCGCCAAGTTGTGACGGAACCCGAAGTAGTTTGCATCTGGACCTTTCTCGATCACCATCATCGTCTCCCGCTCTGGCCTTGACGCTCAATCGATAGGCAAACGGCTTTCAGGTGCCACGATGGTGTCGAGTTCCAAGTCGCAGGCAAACATGGCGTCACTAGACTCTGCCGCCCTAGGTCGCACCAAGGCTCCGACCGTGAAAAGAAGCAAAGTGTCATAAACCGCAAATACTTAAACGCTCGGGAACCCACAAGGATGCTGTTGTGGAGGTGCTGACTCCACTGCGAGCCTGGCCGAACGGAGCTTACAGGGCTTGCAGGTTTAGACTTTGTCGCTGCTTCGCGATGGCAAACAAAAACTCAACTGCGAGGGACCAGCCTCTTTCATTACATGTGGCACCCTCAGCGCTCCAAGGAATACATCCGAAAATCAATTTCTGACTGACCCATACAGCTCAGATCGCCGCCGGCCGCCTTCGGCGGAATCCGGGTGCCGGCCCCTGCCAGCTCGTCCTCAAACAAACCTGTGCTCTTCGAACCTCAACTGGAACTAAACTTAGCTCGTGCGTCACTACTCTCTCTCATTTTCGATGCCCCTTATCAGGCAAGCTGCCTGTCAAGACTAAGACGGTAAGCTTATCTTGCTCAATCGCCCCTTGAACCCAGCTTGGCTGCAGCGAGACATGTCAGGATGTCAGGCCAGCAAACGAAGACTGTTTTGAAGTGAAACAGAAGACTCCGCGGTCCGCGACCATTTTGCTCGCATAAAACCAATGCATCCAGAAGTTCCTTTGAGTTCCTTTGAGTGAGACATGTGAAGCATTGTGAACCATCTTCGGATGTCACTTGCATGGTTGTAGCTGCAATGCGAAGCTAGCACCACATGCATAAATTGCATACCTCCAGACATCTCACAAGCATGACCACATGCTAGGTCCTAGGTATGTTGAGCACATGCTCGATGTTGCCATGTATTGCACTACGTCGCTGGGCAACAGCGTGCTCCCAACCGGCTTGTGCCGGCTCTCATCCAATACCTCAGTGCATGAAGCTCACAGGCCAAACTCACGCCTTGCCGTCAGACTCGCTTGAGGCACGCACGGCATGTGTCTTCCTCGTCGAGAGAATGCCAGAATAGGAAGACCAGGGGACATGCACTGTGCGAACCGCATCTCTCTTGTCTTCCGGTCGACAAGCACTGCACTGTCGGCGTTTCAACCGACAACCACGCTTTACGCTTCCCAACCACACTTTCCGGGAGCCCCCGTCTGCAATCATTCCCGCCCCTTAACAAACCTACCTTGAGCTTTTGCTGCGGTCTCCATCTGGCTATAAGGGCATACTTTACGTGCGACGCGAAAATGCTCCGGAGTCGGTTTCGTCACAATTGGACCTACAGTAACACCGAGCATGGTTTCAACTTAGTCAGGAATTTATCTACTTCTTCTTTGACTCTCAAGCTTTATTGTGATAATTGTGAAGGGCCTAGAAGACACTGTCCTGGCTGCATAGAAATGACGCTCATAAATGATCGGCGGGTCTTCGGGAGTACCCCGCTGTGAGCCATATTGTGTCGTTGGTTATTCGGGAGTCCTTGGGTTGTGGTGTGCTCCGAGTAGTCAATCCAAGCAATACAGCAACGTTGGGATGAACATGGACTGGATCCTGAACTTGGTCTTTCTGGGGAGCCTGCTGTTCCAAACTTCACGGAGTTTCTGGTAAGCTCTACAGCAAGGGTTCTTCTGTCATAGAAGGCGCAATTTCACAAGACATCGTCCAGGACACAGTGAAATCTGGCCCGCTTTGCTGTAGATCCTCAGGTTGCAATGCAAACAGGAAGGCGGTGCGATCAATGGAGTCGAACGCCCGCTGGCCATGTAGCAAGACACAACGGGTTCAAGGGTTTCTGAATCATGATGGACCACTCTATGGCCCGACGAAATAGAAAAGAGCGTGCTTTGTTCCGGCGTTTGGTCTGAACCTGTACTGGCTTGGTCTTTCCTGTGGCTCGCAGTGTTGGGAGAGTCAAACCTGAATCATGGACGCCAAGAGCTTTGGCCACGTTAAGCAAAGACATTGATCCACAATTCGCAGATATCGCGTCCGCCCCCTTGCCCAAGTCAGGATGCCGGTAGGTTGGGTTGTGCTTCTGCCCCACCTTCGACTGGCGTTTCGTAGTGGTTTTCTGGGTCACCGTCTTGCCATCAACCGTGGTCGACAGCGTAGTGGCCGTCTTCACGGGCTTCGCAACTCTGCATCGCTCACTCACTCAAGCCATCTTGGGAAAGCTCTTTGTTCTGCTTGCAGGAGATCAAATGCCGCCACCACCCGTCCGTTGATCTCACCCTTGACGGTCTCACACGCTCAAAACTCACGATTCACTCCGTCGAAAGTGAGCTGGTGGCCTGTGGCTCAGGATGATCGAGGATGCCGTGGCCAAGTGGAGGCGAATGCCAAGAAGTGGAGCCTTCACGAGGCGGACCCATGCCGTCGGCATCGCGGGCTCGTGGTCATCGTGATATAGAGGAGGACGCAGGGAGATGCTGACATTAAGCAGGGAAGATGGAGTGGCTGATGAGCCGATTGGTGAGAAGGAAGGAACAGGCCGACTGGCTGGATACATTCTTTGAGAAAGTGCAGTTTCCTGTACGTCCTCCGCCGGATTAAGTTTGTGACCACGAGCCAAGCATCCTAGCCTGGATCGATCAAAACACGGTGAGCAAGCTGACCGGGGACTTTCTCGAGAGAATACTTGTGAACGACCTCATCAGGAAGGCGCCATGGTAACCCAATACCGCGAGATACTGCGAAGCCTGGCGGATCACGCCAAGGACGGCTTGAAATTGCAATCTTCTTGACTGCTCCCTGATACTGCGCACACGTTTGATGCAGACAACACATATCCAGCTTGGGTTTAGTTTGTGTGTGTTCGTCCTTGGGCAAGGCGCGTCTAAGATGAGACGGAGTACCCAGAGTGATCCAGGATATTGCCTTCAGTGATGTGGAGAAACTTGCCAAGCCGCGAGCCGCTTGCAAGTTCTACAGCTGTCTTGCTGGCACACGAAGTAGCCGCCACATGTCTCGAGATTTTTGATGCACATCCCCTTTGGTAATGACATTGCACCAACACGGGGACGACGTAAGTGCATGCTGGTATAGATGCGGCCACATATGATCGCTAAGTGGTCTGTGCTTCGAAGACATGCGAAACACTGGGATTCCTCGTAGACGCCTTCGAGCGGGAGAAATCCTGTGTACCTTGCGCACAGAAGCAAGCTGCAACATGCACCTCCAGCCCTTTTGCAGAAACTCGCATCCACAATGGAGAAGGACCGTCCACAGTTGTGTTTCATGCTGTGACGGTCCTTAGCAAAACCGTGGTGTAGTACCATTGTATGACACAATACTTTGAGTTCGACGTTGGACATCACTGATTGCGAGGGGGCACTTCACTGCTGACTTGTCAGCCGTCGATCTTCGCTGATACTGCATCTTGTACGACCTTCACAGGTCGTGAAGCAGTGAGTCGTGCTGCGTGTGGGTGCGTGGGGGTGTGTGTTTGTGTGTCAACTTCATTGGGATCCTCACGGACCATACTGGATGTTTCCTGCAACCACTGGCGGGTTGGCCACACCTCTGAGCAAAGACAAGCACCCACGGCTCTCTGCAGACGCACGCTGAGATGCCGGCTCGTCATCTGAGGACGGGAAACGTTCGGCATGTACTGTCCCTGCATCGCCAGTGGTGGACCTGACGGCAAATTTGCTATTTTCAGCATTTCTGGGCGCCGATTCATTCAGACCTTCACAGCGGCCCGTACCTTGTGTCGGAGCTGGTGGCATCTGGAAGCTGGTGCTTCCTCCTCCAGGATCAGACTAGTGACTTGTGTCGCATTTGGGCAGCGCCTACTGTAGGCTTCGAGCACCTAGTCGGGGTGTTTCGGAAGCCACGGCATGAATTGCATAGCCCTCCCTGGCCACATTGAATTTCTGGACAATGCATCTGTGCATGGCCAAGGATTCTTGTGCACAAGCTCGAATTCACAGGTGGTACATTGGCATTAGCATGGCATTTTGGCTTGGTTGGCCCGTAGCTCAGGTCTTGAAGAATATTTAGTGACTTTCGTCTCAGGCCTCTGAAGCCAAAGGCCGCAAAAAAACAGCAAATAATTCGGTTCGACAAGGCGGCCCCAACATTGACCAGCCGAGCCCTCCGACAAGATGACAGCGTCAACATTCACAAGCGTCCGATGGAGATGGCTTTCCTGGCTCAGCACAGCAGACCACGTGACGACGTTCATTCTGCATGTGCCATCGAGTCAAGGCTCTTTGTCGGTTCAGGCTTCTTCTTGCCTCACTTTGGATTAACGCCAGTCAAGACATCGAAGCTTCGAGAGGACAGGACAGCTGCACGGAAGCAAGCGCAGCCTGGTGCTTTCCACTGGCTCACGGGCTCCATCGGTGATCCCAAAGGTCCAGGTGACGTCAGGCTGGGCAGAACGACGCCTGCGACACTAAGACGTTGATACATGTGTCCACAAACCTGCCAAATCACCAGTCCACAACAAAGCTGTTGAGGGATTTGCTCTTCAAATCGGCCTGGCGAGAAGGTAAAGCCATTCCCTGTCCTTGATTCCAATCACGTTTTGGTGGGCGCATCACTACCCACAACGTGATAGACGCCAAGAAACACTGGGCTGCCACTTCCTGAACCGAGCGGTGACAAGTTTGCCACAATACATCTTTTGGCCTGCATTGTCGCGAACGTGAAGAACGAGGTGGTGGGAGTCTAGCAGGCAATCACTTTGAGCAGCTGACGCCTTCTCTGCAGTTTCCAGCGGCAACGGCTCTAGAAACGTGAAGGGCATAGCCTGAGCAGTGTGCCCCTGCTTGGCTAAGAGGTCTTTCGCATGGCAGTCGCCGAGGAACCGCCGGTGGCTGGTCGAGTCGCCTGTGCAGGCCTGGGCCATGGGTGATGTTGTTTGGTGAAATATTTATATTGTTTGTACCGCCCTCACTCCGACCTGTCGAAGGATCGGCCAGCACATTGGTGAGATCGCCGCCAAGATGACGAAGCACCTTAAAACCCAAGGAGGGCGTTCCACTCAAGTTCTGCCATTAAACACTCCACTGCATTGCAGAGATCGTTCGAGCATGGAACCACATCATGCAGCGTCCAGCTTTCGCCTTCCTAGATACAGGCATGCCACAGTCCAAGCAAGAGGAACATGAAGCCAAAAGACTCTATAACAGTCAACAAATGTTGGCCAGATTCATTCTCATTTGTAGCTCTGTCCCAGCTCTCCTCGGTGTCTGTCATCGGCACATCCGACGACAGTGTCTCAGGTACCTTAACTCTCGGCATCGGAACAGGCACATGGGATCCTTAGGATGCCTACGTACGTCCTGAGCAAACCTGTTTTTGTATCAAGCCATGTCATCCTGCACTCGTAAGCAATTTCAAGCCTGTGTGCTCAAGGAAAATTGAGATGCGAGACGAGGTGCATGTGGCTGTAACTTGCATACAGCGGACATGCCATCCGACGGCCAGCGCGCTGCCATTATGTAGGACACAACTGCGAGCTTGAACCCAATGATCCCCTCGGTCGTTCTTACACATGTAAGGAAAAACGCATGTGAATTGCTTGTGGACATGTGGATGCATGGCCTGGGCAGCGGTCAAGCATCGACAAACGTCAAGCAGTTGCATGCAACCACCTCTTCCAGCTTCGAAGTGCAAATGCAGCAGCAACTGTAGTGTGCTCCCAAAAACCACACTAATTTCTGAAGCAGTGGTGTATTTAGTTCGAGAACAGGGAGGATGCATCTGCAAAACAAGCCCAACATGACCCAAGCACAGGGTGCGCAGGCGTTGTGCGTCTCAGAGAGACCGCAGTGCCAGTTTAGTTTTGAGACCAGACAGGGCAGGGGTTTGGGGACCTTGCAACCTTCGGACCTTGGCCTTGACCCCGCGATTCCCAGTTGTAGTAGGACCCATGGAGGGCAGCTGAGCAGGGCTCCGACATGCACATGAATGGAAGGCCTGGCATAGCAGGCATCGAGTTCATGTTGGGCATGGAATTCATTGGCCCTGGCGGCAACTTAGAATCACGACCCGCGGGCGGAAACGCTACTCGGCGGCCTGCCTGGCTGAAAGCCACTTTGCAAGGATGCAGCGGACATAGGTGGTGCACCCATGGCAACTCCTTCAAACCGAAGTTGGAGAAAAGACGACTCACTGAGTCCAGCATTCGCAGGAACAGCTTTGAACAATCCTCAGAGCCACATTACTGGTCACGTGAAGGAGATATGGGATGGAAAAGAACTCAATGCATCGTCACACTGATCTTCGGAATACAGGGCACTGGCCATCTATGGTGCCAAACAGACTTGAACTTAAGAATCTGTACTCGATCAAAAACTGTTGGTTCAACCACTTTCCTGCCGTGTTTGGCTCCGGAAAGACTTCTCATTTTTGCGTGTTACCATACTGCACTGTGCCTCGTGCGTGAGAAGCACAGCGTGTAAGGATGCTGCCTGCCCGAAAAAATTAGTATGAACTTGTGTAGTGGAAGTGATGTGTATTCTACGGGATACATGTCGTGGGCTCAACTTAACCGTGCATGGCCACAGTGTCCTTGTCTGATGTCAAAGTGCATTCTGGTGTATCAGGCACTGTTGTTTGTCTTTACACCGACAGAGCTCTAGCTCTATCTCTCTTTCTTTTCTTGGGCTCTCGAGTTTGAGTAAGTGGCATTGGGGCTGACCGGAACTGCTCCCTGCTTCCACTCACCCAGAGGGCAGTCTCCACAGTCTCTTCAGAATGGTAACAAGACCCTCCCTCCCCCCTCCCTTGCTCCCTCCCTCACTCCCTCCCTCGCTGGCTCTCTCTCTCTCTCTCTCTTTGCTTTGCTTTGCTAGGGGTTAGAGTCAGGAGGAGTTACCTCCTAACCCGCGTCAAAGCGCATCCCCATCCATCATTTTGACAGAGGGGCTTGGCTGTACGTTTGTGAGAAGGTTTGAGTGTTTAGGGTTTAGGGTCTCTCTCTCTGTTTCTTTCGCCAAGCCCTCAGCAGCCGGCCCGCGCTCCTCCTGGCATTCCAGTCCTGCCATTTGCACCAGTCACTGGCATGCAACAGCAGCGGACCTGAGACCCAGGCCCTGGTATGGAAGTCCTGGGAATCGTGGCCTCTTGCAGTTCAAAAAGCACCCGAATCGAAAACTTTCATCAATCTATCCTCAAAGCCTTGCGTCGTGTGCCTGCTGCGTTGCTTGAGGCCCCGAACGAGTAGAAACTGAGATTCACTCTTCTTACCCAACTCAATTGGCCGATGTTCGTGATTGGCATCCAGTAAATCCTGTCGCCTGTCGCCATGATTGAATAGTGATTCGGTGACATCAAGATTATCAGTGACGACTTCTTTCGTTCGCTGGTTGTAAGCATGTTCATGCATCGGCTACACTAGCACAAACAAGCAGCTTCAGTTCATGGTGAAAGACCCGGACCACACATTACTGAATCAGACATGCTGGAGATGCACTTTCTGCCAAGGCCGGGCAACACACTGCGCAACGCTGTCCCTTCTTGGATACTGACCGAACCAGGGATGTTAGTCATTGGCGGCATCATCGAGCCCTGTCCATAGGCACGTTGCAGCAATGGAGGCTGGAACAGCGACTTGCCAATGCACGCACACAAACACACACACAAACGCGCACGCACACACACACACACACACATCACACAAGGCAACACAAGCGCAACAGCAACGCCTGTGGCCCACCAGCTTGTGGCGGCATCTGTTTGAAAGTGCGAACGCTGCCAAAGTGGAAAATCGTGCCAGCTCTTTGGGTAAGCCCCATGCACTTTGGAAACCCTGCGGAGGCATCCCACCCATGTTCATGCTGCCACTCGTAGGCCTGATGATGATGCATGAGCATTGCAGTTCGCGCGCCCAAGTCTTCCGCAAGATACACGGCATTACAATGAACTAGGGCTGCTGCGGCATCATCGGTGGCATCGACTGCATGATGACAACTGGCAAAAGACCACGCTTCACAAAATACCCACACCGAGCAACGTGTCACAAGTTTCATGCATGTGACATCATGCAAAGTCGAGCAGCGAGTGGCCTCGGTGCAAAGAGATACCAGGAAAACACGTTCCCCTCGAGCCGAGGCCGCGAGTAGCAAGCACTGGTGTATCATTCATGTTGCAATCAACTCGCGAAGCGTGTCATACCCGCTTCCACGAGGGCAAGAAAGCCGGCTCATGACTGACAGAAGGTCTCCCAGGGACTCTGAACGATGAACCGAATAAACTGCTGCATTCGCATCTGGGGTGCAGCAGAAGACGTTTTTGGAGCCAATATAAGACAATAAAATCTTAAACATGCCAGTTCCTTCCTGATCAGAATCGGATGCGTTCTTTCTGGAATCACCTGACACGTTTGTTGGGATCATCGTGAAAAGACTTTTGTGCGAAAACGGAAATGGAAAGACGCATTTTCCAAGCACGTCATAATTACAAGACTTTTGCACCTGCAAAACAACTGGAAACAAGCTCAATGAAAGTGAGTCAGGCAATGCCTCTCTCCAAAATGTCGATTTAGCAGAAAATAGACGTGCTGGCAGCTCCAACATGTTTTTATCCAACTTGCCCTTACTCTTAACATCACGTCTCTCCTCAGTAACATTTGCCAAAGTGTTTTAAAAATCAACATATTGTGCGAAAACTGCAAAAGGAGATTTAGAAATTTCTTCAATCAATGGTCATCCCCTTTTGATCTCCAACTTCCAGGCTCCAAACTTTCTCTAAACCCAGAAAACAACTCTATACTAACCAAGACTCGAACTGTCGAAACTCACTGAACGATTGAGTTTGAGGTTACCGGCAAACCAAAAGAACCAGAAACGTCTTGAGATTTGCGTTTTACTAACGGTTCAAAACCTGAGATCTCCAAAAGCACGAGCATGCAGCCCAAATTTCAGGCTAGCCTCTTAAACTAGAAAAGAACGGTCTTTCCAAACGGGGTTGCCAAGGCTCTCGTCTGTCACTCTGCAGTCTGAACGACGAAAACATGGAGAACGCTCCAACTGTTGTCTGTTGTTGGCGTTGCTCGACGTGTGTCACAAAATTAAAAAGGGCACAGCGAAACCTTTCTGACTCGATCTTGCAGAGAAAGTTAACCTCCAACGTCCAACGTCAAGGCAAACACGCACGAAAGCAACCTTTTCCGCTTGACTTGAGTTTGGCTCCAGCCTTCATGTTGTTATCAGCCAGTGCAAAATCACAGAGAAGTACCGCACATGATGCAGTTAGCGAGATCTGCGCCGCATCGGCAAACATCAAAGGATTACCTGAGTATCCCGAGAAAATCGTTTTTCATCAGGAAAATCAGCAGCAGCGCTTAAGTTCGACATCGGCGTTAGCAAAGAATTGTAGCCAAAATTTATTATTGCAATTTTTGCCATCTTGGAGCAAACTGTCGCGCAGCTCTATCCACTGGCGGCACCACCAATGCCAGAGTTGCCTGCACGGTTCCATACACTTCAGAAGTGTTCTCAATGGAAAGCAACTTGGATTCATCTTTGACAGAAAACTCCAACCATGCTATCTTTTATGGTTAATGTTCTCTCTTCGCCCTCAAGTTGGCAAAGAACTGTTTCTTTTTCGACAGACAGATGCTCCATCGTGCAGTAAAAGTTCATTCAGACGCATACATGCCCATTAAACAAAGTTTCAGAATTACAAAGTTTTAGAATTCTCACACTTCGTGAGTGCAAACGAATTCTTGTAGATTCGAGTTGCAATTAATTTTTCTCCCGGGTTTACAAACTGAGAGGCACGCGTGGCACTGACTCTAATTGGCCGGCTCAGTGTTGAGGTTTAGAAGAATAGTCTTGGCGAGCCAGGATTTCATGTGACTCTGAACCGGCGAGTCGATGAAAAACCTGTGACGTGCATCCTCAGTTGCGAACCCAGCACAAAAATGATTCAGGGTTGACCGCATGTCGACGCCTTTTGTCAGCTCGAAATCGGAGAAAGGGCGGAGTGCTGGCCGGGCAAGTAAAAGGTACCTTCTAGCTGATTCAAGCGCGCGGCCATGCGTCTGTGGCTTGTCACCGTCTGCCATGGCCTTATTGGTGGTGAGTTCACGGAGTGGCAAAGAATCCCCACGAATGGAGCATGCTCTTGGACGGCCTTCCCAATGGATGGCGTCCAACACCTTGCAATGGCCAACGACCATAACGATGCTACTTACAATGTAAACTCCAAGGTGTACAGATGGCATGATGCCAGCGAGTCCTTCATGGAGCTGCAAAGCATCCCCACGAATGGAGCCCGCGCTTGGGCTCAATGGATGGCGTCCAACACCTTGCAGTGGCCAACTTCCGTAACGATGCTACTTGCAATGTAAACTCCAAGGTGTACAGATGGCATGATGCCAGCGAGTCCTTCGTGGAGCTGCAAAGCATCCCCACGAATGGAGCCCAGGCTTGGGCGGCCTTCTCAATGGATGGCGTCCAACACCTTGCAGTGGCCAACAACTATAACGATGCTACTTACAATGTGAACTCCAAGGTGTACAGATGGCATGATGCCAGCGAGTCCTTCGTGGAGCTGCAAAGCATCCCCACGAAAGGAGCCCAGGCTTGGGCGGCCTTCTCAATGGACGGTGTCCAACACCTTGCAGTGGCCAACTACCATAACGATGCTACTTACAATGTAAACTCCACGGTGTACAGATGGCATAATGCCAGCGAGTCCTTTGTGGAGCTGCAAAGCATCTCCACGAATGGAGCCTACGCTTGGGCGGCCTTCTCAATGGATGGCGTCCAACACCTTGCAGTGGCCAACCACTATAACTCTCGTACTTACAATCTAAACTCCAAGGTGTACAGATGGCATGATGCCAGCGAGTCCTTCGTGGAGCTGCAAAGCATCCCCACGAAAGGAGCCAAGGCTTGGGCGGCCTTCTCAATGGATGGCGTCCAACACCTTGCAGTGGCCAACCACTATAACGATGCTACTTACAATGTAAACTCCAAGGTGTACAGATGGCATGATGCCAGCGAGTCCTTCATGGAGCTGCAAAGCATCCCCACGAATGGAGCCTGGGCTTGGGCGGCCTTTTCAATGGATGGCGTCCAACACCTTGCAGTGGCCAACAACTATAACGGTGCTACTCGCAATGTAAACTCCAAGGTGCACAGATGGATCACCACCACCACCACGACGACCCGCACGGTCACATCTACCTTTATGGAGCCTCCCTCGACGTCTGGATCTTTGCAGTTTTGCTCTCGTTTTTTGTTGGGATCCCTGTGTTTAAGCCCGAATAATTGGAAAACGGGCGCCCTTATTCCACAAGGGTTACTGGGGAACCTAGGTTTGCATTCGCTGATGTCGGAGCTTGGTCCTTGGTTGCGTTCGGCGGCTATTTGGCAGTCTTGTCACTGCTGGTCCTCATGGCCAAGTTGTGGACAAAGGCAGGCCAACGCACCCGATACTCGGCTCTCGTTAAAGAGCTTGGTTCTGTGTTACAATAATAAGGATCTACAGTACATAACATGGCTTACTCATTATGGTATTTTGATTTTCAGTTCCTTAACCCTATAAAGCCCTATTGAAAACCGACCAGAACCCACTAAAACTCATTAAAACCCTAGAAGCCCTGTTCAAACCCTATTAAGTTCCTGAACAAGAGTCCAGGACAACCTGCAGAGGCTCAGGCACTTGGCCATGCCACGGAGTCGCTCCTGGAACCGGTTGGACCGCAAGCTGAACTTAAGTTCCGTAGCAAAAACCCTCAAAGGATCCCTTAACAAGAACCCCTTCAGTTCCTAGGACCAGTGCGACCATCGCAAGCAGAGCAGCGCTTGGCAGAGACCCGGGAGATGCCGTTGAAGCGCAAGCTGAAAAGGTCCCGGCAGCTGTTCGCAACGACGATGTTCTTGGAGTCCGGAAACCTCGCGTCAACGCCTCTTGCCTCCCAGGTTAGAGATTGTAAGACGCTAGCTAAGCTGCACATGGTTTTGTTTTGGTAAGCAAATGCAAGCCACTGTCCCAAATCGCCTTGGAGATCGAAGACTGGCTGTGGGTTGTGCCCCATGTATGTTTGAAGATCATTCTGTGGGAGCTGGAACACCGGTCAGTCTAGTTTCGAATCTTGCCAAGGATGCTCTACGCTGTGCCTCTCTCTAGGGAGGGTGTTCCAGCACTCCACTCTGTGATAGCTACAGGCCCTGGTTCAAGACATAGGTCAGAATTCCACACTTTTGAGCACTTACGATTTACGGGCCTACGGCCCGCTGCTCCCACCATCGTAGGGGCTCCAAAGTCTTTGCAAAACAGGTTTAGGAGTGCTTTAAGGGGGCGCA